ACTCCCTTCACTGACATGGATTTGTGATAAAGCCAGTTTTGCTTTTAAACTTATTGGGGAATACATGTCTTTTGTTTTTTAGTTTGAAGTTTTTGCTCAGGTAACACTAAAGAAACGATTCTTAATACAACTTGAATAAGAAAGCCTTCATGCTTAAATTATCTGCTTTAAAATAGAGCACAAAATCAATATTACTGAATGAGAGCCCCTTTAAATGTAGTTTTAAAACCAGAAGCACTGCATTTTTGAGAGGAAAGGAAAGATGAAATGATAAGTCTAGAAAATAGAGACATTTTTGTTCCTGGATCACTCTCCCAGGCCTGGCCTTTGAGCCTTCCTCTCCCTTCCCCTCCTCTCCCGGAAGGACGTGTGGTCTCGTCGGGGACTCCTCCTCACTTCCCTTTGGTGTTAGTCATCTGTTTCTGCAGAGCAGCAGACTACACGCTCCCAGCTTCCTCAGCGCGCAGGCTGCCTCCCAGGCCCTGCGGCCCTGGAGCTGGCCGTGGCTTAGAAGGTGCTTTAGAAGCTGCAGTCAGATGTCCATCAGGCTTCGGTCTTATCGGAGGCTCGACTGAGAAAGGATTTGCTTCTAAGCTCATCTGATGGTTGTCAGCTTCTTGTGGGCTCTGGGCTGAGGCCTCAGTTACTTGTTAACTGTCAGCTAGAGGCTGCCCTCACGTGGCTCTCACTCTAGGAAGCTGCCCACGTGGCCCCTGGCTTCTTCAGAGTCAGCAAGGGATGGGATCTTGCAGCAGCATGACATTACAATAGTCTGTGATATAACCACATGGATTCCATCATTTTTACCTTATTCCACCGGCCAGAAGCAAATCACAGGCCCCACCCCCACACAAGGGGGATATATCATGAGAGGCAGGGCTCCTGAGGGCCATTCTAGAGAGATCCAGCCACATCTGAGGCTGGCAGGAATATGGCTCCTCTTCCCCTTTCCTCTCCTCTCTGTGCATTCTCCTACTTAACCAGGAGCACATTTTCTATCCCTTCTTGTCTTCTTCTCTCCTTCTGACCTTCAGAGAATTCACAACCCTGGGTGACTTTTCTTTTTGGCTGTAGAAATGCAAGAAAAAGATACAAGAAACTTTGCCTTGCTACCAGGCCCTCCCCTGACAGCTGGTATTTTGAATGTGTGACAACTCCCCTAGCAGGTGTTTCTAAGTCCTAATGTGGCTTATGCTCTTTCTCTTTGGGGAGGAGACCCTGTTCAGTGGTTGAGAGCAAGGACTGAAGCCACACTACCTGGTGTGAATCTCAGCTGTGCCCTCTATTATCTGAGGAATATCAAGCAAGAGAATTCATTTTGTGCCTTTATGGTTGGTATTTGCATTTTTTTTCCCCACTGGCCTACCAGCTGGTGCCACTCTCACCCAAGATGTGTGTAATTTGTGCTTTATTGATAAATACAACTACCTCAAGCCATTTCTGGTCTCCTGGAGGAGTGGGCAGGAACATATTTGAATTTAGGAGGCTGGCTCTTCTTTTATTGACATCATCATCACCTGGTACTTTCTTTTCCTAAGGATGAGGATAGTATGCTTCTTGCCCTATCAACAGCGTTTAATAAGCACTTACTATTTTCCATGAGCCATCTTAAATTGTTTGCAGGCCTTATATCTTTTAACCCGTATATCAATAGTAAGTTGTAGTACTACTATGACTGCCATTGTGAAGATGAAGAAACTGAGGCTTAGAGAAATTAAACAACATGCTCTAGGTGTTCGGGGCAGACTGAGGAATGCAGTCTGTGTGATTGCAGAACACATGCTTTTCATGCCCACAGGGCACTGCCTTCCGGAGTGGCAGCCTTAACCCGCTTAGTGAGCTAACTCCTCTGGAGACCGGAGCCTGAAATCCAAAGCAATCATGTGGGTGCAGGAGCTTCCATCCACTTCTGCAGCCCTAATGCAAATGCCATCCCCCAGCCTCTTCGCTCTGAAATGCTTTTGCTTTTGATGCCCACCCATCTCCTTCCACTTTGGGGAACAGGCTTGGCCTCGCCCAAGAGGAGAGATCGACCATACATCCAAAAAGGAGTGTATTATTTTTAGCCAGGTTTCTGTGTAACTGTTGTGGATCTCAACATTGTATATGAAGCCCACCCAGGACTTGTACATTCAGATCATTCCCTTTAAATGCGTCAGCTAAGTTAATTGCTTACATTCTGTTGAAACTGCCATTGCACTGCATTTTAAAGAAATGGACGTCATCTCAACCACCTTATAACCTCTTCCCTATCCCTAAGACTTCTGCCAAATGGTTAGTTCATTCAAGTCTGGTGTTGAAGACACTTTGTAATTTTTTTTTTTGAATACCCATTGTGGTGGGAAATTACCATCTTTGAGGATGAACTTGATTCCTTGAACCTATTAAAATATTGTCTACTTTCATCCACACAGTATAGTAGAAAATAAAGTGGTTTTGTTTAGAATTCAGGAGTGACTGGTCTGTAACGGGACGACTTTTCTTGTGGGCAATACCTGTACTCTGGTTTTGAAGAGACAAGAAGAGAACTCAACGTACTCTGAGCATCAGCATCATTGGAGTGAGTCCTCAAGAGGATGACTTGGAAAGGTCAAGGAACACTTTATTTTCTTTTTTCAATAAAAATAATACTTTTTTTTTTATTAGAATAGTGTGGCATCATTTTCAAAACGAACTTCTTTTTAGAGAGAAAGTTCTGTTTAAATGTTGGTATTGCCTCGCCTGTGTCTTTTTTAAAAACACAAAAACATAGCTGACAGATCATACTGTTGCCGAGGCTTGCCTGTGAAGCTAGCCTGGCCATAGGGGCCTGCCATTCTCAGTGCGGCTTTCATCCCCCACAGATGCCTGCTGAGTTCCTGGCATTACGGGGGACATCAGAAGAATTAGCCCTGATGGAAATGATTTGTTCTTTCAGGAATTTATAATAAAAAACACTCAGTACTTGTGTGAAGAATGCTAACATATGCATAGCTAGAGCTTTCTGTTTCCACATTAGTGAAGATTGTCAACTAAGATGGGGATTTTTATTTAACACTTCAGAACAACATAGAAAAGTTTTATATTATTATTAAAAGTATGGTTTGAACCTCTCTCCAAAATGGTCACTTAGGGACAGAGTCTGCATTTAATGGACTGTATACCATAATTGCAATGGTTACCATGAATTTTATAGACTATCATATTTGGACTAGTAAAAAATAATTGCAATTACGTTTGGGGAACATATTCTGTAATGCATCATCTCTAATCTAAATAACTACTCTCCAAGGTGTGTATTATTGTCCTTGTTTTACAGATTTGGAAATTGAAGATTAGAAGGATTAAATTACATGGCAAAGACCACACTGCAGTTAACTAGCAGAGGTGGAATTCAAGCCTATTTATTTTAAACCTATAACAGAGCCTTTTGCATTTCCCATCATTTAAAAGACATCCATGCCAAGTGACCAGGCATCCAAAGCTACAGCTCGTCATGAGCATGTTCCTTTCAGTGCTGGGTGTAATCTTATGAGCTTTTGACTTGTCAGCCCTTCCCTGCTGTTTTTATTGATGTTGGCAAGTTCTTTCTTTGTTACTAGGGCACTCTGGATTTAGGTGGCTTCAATCTCTGCCTTCTTTTTGTCACATGCACAGACACACATACCCTAATGGTTTGGATAACTTGAGGTTCTGTCTCTTCTATGAATAACTGAAGCGACACTGTCTCTCATGGAACATCAGTTTATGGAGCCATTTTACAATTATTGTTAATCTTTCTGAAGGACTTAGCACTGGGGCTTCAGGCGAGGAAAGGTGGTTAGGCTTTTATTTTATGTGTTGTCTACTTGGAGCCAAATGTTCTTCATATAAAATGAGTGATAGTTGCATCCTGCTTGGTAGGATTTGAGTGTTCTCCTTTTTTTTCTCTTCGATGAAGGGAAAGACAACAGCACTTCTATCCCTAGTTGTAGACCCTATAATGTTATGAAATTCAAAAAAGTAAAATATTCTGAATGATTTTCTCTTGGAAAAAGGGATTTTGCTGGGTATATTCCTTTATTTTATGAATTATAAATATCCAATGCTAGAGTTGGATATACGGACAAAGTAGCAAGTCTGATCATTGGGCATTGGGTGTTCCTGGTGCTGGGATAATGTACTTGTTGGATCAAAGCATGCTTGACCTTGGCAGATTAGATCATTCATCCACATAGCATCGTAGGGGGCATTTGATCCTTTTTCAGAAATGAAGAAATTGAGGCTGGGAAAAGATGAAATTATTTTCCCAAGACTACTTAGTGGTGGGGCTTTAAACCACAGTTTTACCTGTGCATTGTCCTTTGGTGGTTTGGATTACCTAATTAATCACCTTTCTTACTCTTTAAGTTTTAAACAATTCAAGAAACAGAGCAAGGATTCAAATGGGAATCAACACAGATAGTAATGTAATTACCGATAAAGCAGAATTAGATAACACAGAAGTTCCTCGCTAACACATGCATTGGACCCAGCAACCCTGACCCATCATCAGCTGGGACAGAGAGAGCTGTTGGCCCTCTTGGGAGCAGGCAGCCCTTGTCCTGCTTACCGTGTGGAGGGCAGCTGGTTCCCGGTGGCCCTTGCTGCCCAGCTGATTGCAGTAGCCAACTACTAAGTCAGTTATTTTCCTAGTCCTCTCAGGCAAATTAGTCACTCATTTTTGAGAAGGAGGAAGGAAGGAATTGGGGAGGAAGGACAAAAAGTGCGTTCCTTTAATACTGCTCCCTCCCAGGAAACAGACTAGGAATCTCTTCCCAAAAACATAAGAGTGGGTGTTTTAGGGTTCTCCATTCCAAACCCCAACAGTAGAAATACTGCTCTTTACATCTTTTTTCTTCTGGGGAGATCTTTCTTTCTGACTTAGAAGAGTAAGGAAGAGACAAATAGATTTTGGGTATAAAGAAAGGAAACTAACATAGACACCAAGAAATGGTCTCTATGAGACATATGACTAATCAGATTCTTTCTCCTTGTGACAGGTGATGGAAATGTACTGGAACAATGGGAGAAACTGGTAATTCATAGGAAACCAAGATGACAAGAATTTTTTTTTAAATAATCAGTAAGTAAAGTTTTATTAGCCTTTCAGAATTCTTTTGACTATCAAGTGAATTTTCTATAAGAATCCCTGATAAAAGAATAGCACAATCAAATAACTTCAAAGTCTGAAGGAGAAAATATTTAAAAGTAAAAAAGCAAAAGTACTTCAAAAATTTATGCTAGCATTTGAGAAATGATTCTTTCCTGGTAGAATGTGTCACTTTAAGTTGTTGGGTACATCAGTTTGGTGGGTAGAGCATAAGTGTTTAAAAGAGGACTCCTTTTGGTAGTATACCTCTCAAATACACATATTATTGGTCCTGTTGATTCTGTGGGCCCCATTTCTTACCTATACTTTGTGATTACATTGTGGAGGTAGATATGAATAAACATTGAATATGAATAAGACTGAGCTCTTTGTCTATACCTTCCCTATATTCTTCTTTGTGTATGCGATTTTTACACATTAGAAGCTATTAATGTTTGCTAACTACCAGGCAGTTTTATGTGGCTGATTTTGGTTTCATTATGATTATGATAATGCTAATACATGGTCGCCTAGTGGAAAGATTATACATTTTTGAGTCAGACATTCATAGTCCTGACTCTTGCTCTTGTGCTTTTCGTAGTTACCCAGTCTCTGAAACTTGGTTGACTCGTTGTGTATTAGATTTGATATGAGTCAATACACAGATGAAAGACTGTGTAGCTAGTACTCTGTGTCATAACTGGTACATCATAGAGCCACAGGATTATATTTCTATTGTGACTTACAGTTCATAAGCCTTTATTTTGACTCAGAAGTTTAACCAGCTCAACTTCTTTAACTGCTATCAAGCAGTGGTGGGTTAAGACCCAGCTGGCTGGAAGAAGGGAGGAGGGGGGTGTAATGTTTGCTGATTTCTGTGGTGTAAATATTTCCATCATGGCCGATTTCAACAAAAATCACCACAAGCAGAGGCAGGAAGTGATGTGCAGAAGCACATTGTTACATAGTTATCTACCAACCAGATTGAATACTTTCAAATAACATCAAGAGCAAAGGTGATAGAAAATAGGAAGTGGCGAGTTTTGAGTATTATATCTGTTTTGATATAGTTTATTTCAATTGTATGTTTATATCATTTGACTTTTAATGATGGCTATGTCTAACAACTGGCTTGCCCCAAATCCGGAGAAAATGACAGTTGACTCTGGTGGGCTGGTATGAGCTGGCTCCCGCTGAGCTAGTTTTCAATGATCGTCTCAGCCCTGGAGGTATGACTTTGGTTGGGCTGATAAAAGCAAGCTTTGGTTTTGAATCCTTGCTTGTCAACTCAGGTTGTCATGCTCACAGAGCTTCTAGAATTGAAGATAAATGCTGAGGCCAATTCAAAATTTAAGCCACTTTTCTTAAGAGTGTGACTGGAGTTCTCAGTTTGTAACAGGGCCCTGGCACCCCTCCCCTCTGGCTGTCGAGTGGCAGTGTTTGAGGATAACGTCCTCCTCTCCCTTCCCTGAGCTCTCTGGCATCTCCATTTCCTGCTTTAGTGAAAAAGAACAGGGCCTAGAAGCTGGGGTTCCTCCTGACTAACTTCCACGTGAGGCTTTGCTTTTTGATTCAAAAATTAAGTTTTAGTGAAAGCAAATTGTCTTCTGAGAGGGAGAGAGAGAAACAAAACTGAATCTGGCCGTTTAAAGTTCCCAGGGGCTTGATTAAAATGCTAGGGAATAACATGGAGGGAAGAAAGGAAACTGGACCAGGTCTCTCAGTGTTTCTTTTAGAAGCAGTTTCTTCGGTTTTCTGACTTGCCCTTTAGAAGAGAACAATTGAAGCCTGAAATTGCTAAGTAACAGCAAAGATTGTGGTGGTGGTTTTTATTTTAAATCTCACACACCTAGTTTTCAAAACATTTTTTTTTATTGAACCTTTCAAAAATGCCTAGGATATTTCAATTCCCTTATGTAATCTTAAAACATTTATTTTCCTTATTTCTCCCTAACTCAATAGGTATTTATGGTTCCTACTGAGTTGGGGATGGACTTGGATTATTGCAAAAGTAATTCTTGTTCATTTCAAGCAGAAACTCGTGAATAGAAATCTGAGAGACTTGCCTCTGGGTTGGGAAATATTGACCTCTGTCTTAATTGAGTTGAATGAGAGTATCTTTGGTAACTTGGAAAGTAAACGTGGAGGTAATAATTAACAGAGGAAATATTCTGATTTATAATTTCTCTTCCCAAAATGAACCTGATGCTATTTCTGAACACGCCCAGCATAAATGAATTTTTGGTTAGAGAGCTGCTAGGAGAGTAGTCTTCAGATATGTAAATGTTACAGTCTAGCATTAGGTTTAAATCAACATAGTAGTGTGCTGGATTTGGGAATCTTGGTTGTGAGGGTGAATTCCAGTATAAATAAGACAGGTTTACTCCATTTTGGGAGTTGATAATCAAGCCTGAACATAGAAAGTTATAATTTCAAACAAGTATGGTTGATGATCTAAGACATAGACAAGGTGGGACAAAAGTAATTTTACAGTTGTATCTGAATTATATTCTTATACAATTATGTATCAATTATTGTATTATTTTTCATATGAACAGTTGTAAACCTGCTTTGGCACCACCCTGTATTAAATACTTCGGAAGCAGACAGAAGAGTGGGCTAGATCCGGAGGGTTTCAGGAGCTGAGGACATTTGAATTGGGTATTTAATGATTAATGCCTTTTAATTAAAATGCCTTTTAAAAATTAACAGTGCTAATTGGAAAGAACTTTAAAAATGTGAAAATTATTAAGAGTAGAAAACTCATCAAAATTATCATTACCCAGAGCCATTTTTAAAAAAAATATATTTTATTGACTTTTTATAGAGAGGAAGGGAGAGTGATAGAAAGCTAGAAACATCGACCAGCTGCCTCCTGCACACTGCCTACTGGGAATGTGCCGGCAACCCAGGTACATGCCCTTGACCGGAATCCAACCTGGGACCTTTCAGTTCGCAGGCCAACGCTCTATCCACTGAGCCAAACCAGTTTCGGCAAGAAACCATTCTTAATATTGTTTTTGTATGTGTGTGTGTTCTGCCATGTTCTCTCTATGCCTAGATTAGCTACACATGATTTTTCTCCCTAAAATGGGTTGTTACATTGTTTTGAAAGCTGATTTGGTTGACCATATACCAAGACCGTGCCACATCAACAAATATCCATCTACATCATTTTTGTTATTGTGAGATAGCATTCCATACATAGGTGGTTTATAACGTATTTAACTATTTCCTTATTAGTGGCCATTGTAGTTGTTTCCAACTTTTCTCTATGATGTACATCTTTGTTTATGAATAGTGGTGCGCTTACACAATCATCGTGCAGGATCTTTGTGTCATTCCTTCCCTTTAGTTAAGCTTCCCTTTCCCTTTCCTCCTTTGCATGTATTTGTTATACATTTAATTTGTAACACATGCTCGACTTCTTTATTCTCCATTTGTATTTTTAGTGAAACAATTCATAGTTTAATGTGTATGTCCTTTCTTTTGGCGTATATTGTAAACTCTTCAACCTCACAGGTGACATACTTTAAAATTTCCCCCATAATATAAATTGGTTAACATGCTATTACAACAAATTAAGCTCTTAGTAAACTATTGACTGTTTTATTTTGTTTCCCTCCTCAAGTCATTGTTTCTTTTTTCCATGATATGAAGTGGAGTTCATTATTAGAGTGCTCCTTTCTTTTCCTTCTTATTTGATTTTTATTGTGTCTGTCATGTTTAAGGTTCTGCATGGGAGAACCAGTTTGTCTGGGCTTAGTCTTACCTTACCGCAATTTGGAATAATTTGGAGTTCACCAGTCATATGCAAGGTCACGTGTCTAGTAATCTGGCAGATGTTAAGGAGATCTAACTTAGTTTTGTATTCCCAGTGACTCGTTCTGGCTTTGGGCCATGAGTGAAACCAAAAGATCTGACAGGTCTCTCTGACTAGCAGTTTCTGGGTTAAGAACATATACAGAGCTGTTCCTTTGTTTCATGACTATGAATCAGCTGTTTTCTGTCCTGTTACTTCTGACCACTTTTCCACTTTGATTTCAAAAGGCACAGTGTTAATTTATTATTCAAGTCCCATAAAGTCCCATCTTGAACCAAAGACGTTCAGAAAGAAATGGTTGTCTGCCTAAGTCAGACAGACAGAAGCGCTGAGGGAGCTGCATGGCTCAGTGGTGATGGTCTGCCCTTTAGGTTGGGTAGCAGGTTTATAATGATCAATTTTAATGTTATTTCCCCCAACAAATGTGCTAATATATTCTCCTGCATGTATTAAATACTGCATAACAAAAAAAAGTTTTCTAAGTGTAAAACAGTTAATGAGGTTAAATGCATTAATTGCATTTATATTGGCAGAACTGAATCACATTTAGTCAGTTATTTTTGCATTTTTAATTTTCTTTTAAACACCTTAGATAAGTGTTTCAATAGATAGCACTCTCTTTTTCCTTTTCGCTTTTTATTTTTTTAATATATTTTTATTAATTTTAGGGAAGAAGGGAAAGCGAGAGAGAGAGAGAGATAGGAACATCAATGATGAGAGATAATCATTGATTGGCTGCCTCCTGCATGCCCCTCACTGGGGATGGAGGCCGCAACCCAGGCATGTGCCCCTGTCCAGAATCGAACCCAAGATCTTTCAGTCCACAGGCTGACACTCTATCCATTGAGCCAAACTAGTGAGGGCAACACCCTCTTTTTTCAACAAGGCAAAATGAACTTTTTATGAAGATAATGTTTACAGACCCTTGGTTTTCAGATGCTCTTCACGTAAGTACAAGAAGCATCAGTTTACTTCAAGGCTTACTCAGAGAAATGTTTTACTTTGTTCTGCCAGAGACGTGCCTTCTCAGGAAGACGTGCTTTCTCAGACAGAAAGTTAATGTCTGGCTATTGGCTCTGACTGCCCAGTAGTCCCTTCTCTACAAAAAAATCCAGATAGTTACAGAGCCTGAAACATTAGCTCTCAGTCTCCTCCAGGGTAAACCCACGTC